CTCTTACACAAGTTTCTAGAATTTTTTGAATGAATTTGATACGGCAGCTTTCTCACACTGACGCCACATGGCAGAAGTTACTACCGTTATCCTACAGTGATGAAAAGCGATCGGTGATTCGCGTCATACTGTAATTCTAAGTCGAAGCTAGCTCTATGAAGTGGTACATAGTGATTTTCAAAAGACTTTATGACAAGAGAGTTATTAATGATTAAACCTTTCTCAAATTTTTTTGGGGCACTTATCAGCAGGGTACAGTCTCTGTCAACACGCTACTAACTTTCATTCATACATGTTTCTTTCCGGTCCACTTCTATATGCCGCTCCCTCGCCTCCACATGTCCTCGTTATCAGCACGCGCGATTACCCGCCCGTGCCTTGAAGCTCAAATTTGAAAAAATTGAAAAATTTGATGAAGGTTATTGATTTAAACTAATATTTTATTTGAGATCAGCATTCACTTACCTCCCTGTGCAAACTCTCAGCCCGGTAGCTCTCAAGGTTTGCACAAATGTATTTCGTTAGAGAAAATAGCTTACGACACCCGGACACTCCCAAGATGTAATTTTGTGGAATCAGAAACGGAGTTTTATATTCAGAGCATAAATACAAACATACAGAAACACATCCAGCATTATATTTAGAACTACTCTCTACTAATTAACAATAAATCTGAATCAAATATGCGACGTAATGGATAATAAGTGATTTAATGGAACTATTGTCTGGGAGTACGCTATGATCACTCTGAGACTTTTTATCGACACGGTCTCTTCCAGTCAGCAAACTCGTGGAAAGCTGTAGCGTTTCACACAAGCAAGGGATAAGGTTTCAGTGAGTGTACAACAAACCGTTTGAGCAATGAACATAATGCTTACGTGACAGGACTATAGACATCTTGCCAAAGAGTACTAAGAGAACAACAAGAGTACAATATGTCTGTAAAGTGCCATTCATTAGGCTGCGTTTATACTGATTTCGTAATCCGGGAACAGTCTCAGCACAACGCTCACTTTAAGCGCTGTGCTGGAACTGTTCCCGAACTTCGGGATCAGTATGAACGCAGCCTTACTTAAACAGCAACATATTAACGTTTTGATTCTATATTCCAAAGTTGCGCTGTAGTTCGCCACTGTTTAGCAGAGTAGTCAAGAAGACGAATTATAGGAGGGATTGTTGTGTGAAACTGAAGTGGATAAACCATCAATTAATTGGAGATGTGCTGTAATTTGAAATCTGATCGAAACTCACACAAGAGATCATGATGCATGCGAAAGACGACGCTTTCTGTGTACTACTGTTTCAGCAACAACCAAGATTTGTACCAGATCTTTGTTGGCTATTCGACGCCTTCGTCAGCGGTTGTAAAATCGAAGTTCAAACTTTCCTCCCCGATATCAATAAAAGTCAGCTCAACATTTGAGGAATATAGATCATTGAGAACTACGGTAGTTAAGAACAACCTCGGATGAGCTGTCAGGTAAAGGAACATCTAGACGGACTACAGAAATTCAAGTCAAGCAGGCCTTTGGGATTGCACCGCCTAATTCGGAACGGCAATGTAGCATCTTAAATGCGAGTCAATTAATGTTCGAACAAGTACGCTAGCACGCAAACGTGGGGGCTTTCTGGATGTAGGCGACAATTCTAAAGATGAGCGCTAGGGAAGAATGCAGTGCGATTACGCAGAGCTATCGTGTTATCGTTTCTTTCGCGGATCTGATGCAAATCAGCACGTATAAAAAGAGCGGAGGAATGATCATTAGGATGTGTTCGTTGTGGATCTCGAGCTGTCATCCAGGCTGGCCTCAACTATCGTACAGATTTCGTTCAAACATTTTTGTACATGATTATTTGCCATGCCAAGAATCAGAAGCAGCCGAACTTGGAATGATTACGGTTTTGTTTGTACAATCACCCAGTACGAAACGTCGTCCCTACAAAATGCACTCAGTTGGCTACCTTCAAATAACCAAGCAGTGTTGTCTTGGAAACAATCACTATGCTTGTCGATACGGAGGGTTGGTGGATGGTTCGCCGTCGAAAAAAAATAAAAGTTGAGCCGAGATCGTTGTGTAAATGTTGGAAGACTATCATGCGGCAAATCAATCAACATTCCTCGTAATACCAGTAGTTCGTAAACGGTGAAATGATGAGCATTTTTTTCCTAGACTTGCTTCATATTGAGCGACCCACTGGTATTTCCTTGCATGTTCTTCCGCTTGCCGCCGCTTACATTTTCATTGCATTTCCTCTCATTTCTGTTCCGAACAATTCGCAAGAAAGCTACGTACTTATCTTTGAAAAGAAACGCAATGTGCTTCAGAATCATTACACATTTTATTACACATTCAGAGCAGAAAGATTAGAATCAGTCATGAGATCAGTAAGTAATTATACAATCTTTCGTCAGAAACACTCTTGCCCCTGGATGCCGCCTCGAGAAGGAATAGACGATCGCATCGTCACTGATTTCTGAAACTAAATTTATTCAAAATAGACTCATGCGACAAAAAAGAACAAGGTCGGCTGCTTGCGCTTGCAGCTCCGCATGTGTTCCAATTCGACAAACAACGAAGCTGTCTGTGTAACTGTGTCACCAAGCGCAAAATCACTTAGCCAAATCGTGCATAAGATGAGTATGGAGATGTTTAAGCCGTACAACATGTGAGCGCAAACAATTCAAGCATGTCACTTCCAAACTCCTTGGCGCTTATTATGTATCTTGGCTGTTGTCCCATTGAGAAGTGTCAGTGGAAATTTTAAAACGCAAGCTGCATGCTACATGTCAAGAACCGTTATAATGATAGACGTTCACTCTATGAGCTTTCTACATAATAAGTGTTCTCCTTACATCAAATGCATGCAAAATCGAATGGTTTCTCTATGTTAAAATACTGGAAGCACTCAGATAAATTTCAATTTTAATCTAAATATAAATAAATAAGTTCTCCATATCTTATATTATCTACCATCTTACTTGCACCTGATTTAGGTGTCGGAATTATCCAACGTCTCAATATGTCTTTGTCTGAGAACGTGTAGTACCCTAACTTCACGAGTACAAAAGGCATCTTTTTCCAATCTCTATATATATAAAGCAGAAAATCTGTGAGTTTGTTTGTGCACATTCGGGTGCAGGTTGTGCAGGTTGTGTAGGTTGTGCAGGGTGTGCAGGGTGTGCAGGTTGTGCAGGTGAGCAGGTTGTGCAGGGTGGGGAGGGGGCAAGTGAACATCTGATTCGAATACATTATTGACAGGACCGGACGGAGCCGGGTTTGCCAGCTCGTTTTTAAATAAAGAGCTCGGCCGCAGTACTGTGACTCACGAAATTGACGTTTTCCCAGACAACTATTTCAGATAAAGAGCAGCACGTAGAGGGTTCTTTGGTTGCGAAATTCTTTGGATTGCTCAGACTGGTTAATTTTGAAAAAAAAAGTTACTTGACTTGCCTAATGTACCAAAGAATGGCACCACAGTAAGCGTCTGTAAGTTTACATTACTGGCCGGCAGAAACACTTTAAAGCATTTCTAAAATTTGTTTAAAGCCCTCATAAAAATTTTCTGTTAGAATTAGAGAAATTTACACGATATTGCATGTGCAATTTCAGATTGTTGCCGTTGTAATAATATTGCTGCTAGAATATGACAAACAGCCGATGTGCCGGAATGTTGCATGAGATAACTCTGCTATGGGTTCATAATTTTGATGAACCCCAAAAAACCATGGAAAAAACCACCGAAAAGCCATAAAAATGTGCTTTCCAGTCCTCCTCTTTGGCGTACTTTACGTCAACCCTTTGGATCTGTCACACCACACGCATGCTAACTCTAACCTTGATTATAACTGTAAATTGTTGATAACATGAGCAATACGTTGTTCATAGGGTTGGGCCATACTATGCGGCGTACGCAGCGTACGCATACGTGCAAGAAGATATGGCGAGCACACTGCGTACATTGCGTATGCGGCTTACGCCGCGCAGTCTGACCCAACCCAAAAGCAGCCGTATGTATCCTGTTTCCCAGCCATGAAGTCGGATGGGACGGTTACATTCTCGCATGACCACCATCAGACATTGAAGGGTAACGCCCATACTGAAGAAGGTTATTTTATTGCTGAATGGACCTCGAAAGCATCCTTAAGCAGTTTTTCAAACCCATGGATAGTACATAAGAAAAGGCCTTCCTTAATACGGTAAATTATACCGCGATTTCCAGCAAGGATAGAACGACTAGTCACTTTAGCATGAGTTGCAAACAGCAAGTATGGCATAGTAACTAAATTAAAATTCTTTCGCTACTTATTATTTTGTGCATTTTCTTGAGCAGATTACAAATTGTAAGTATAAGGATTCGTCTATTTAGCGCGGTTTTCGGTAACTACTCCCCTGGCGTTGTTACGAGATCGCACGTATTCTTCTTGGAAACATGTAAAGCTAGTAAGTCTTGAGAATTTTGCACAAATTTACAAGAGCCGCCCGTTCAAAACCCGCGCGCAGTTAATATGTTGATGACTCGCAAGTTGCCAGATTGTGTCGCGACCGCGACTCAAAAAATCGCATGAGCATAACCGACGCATAAGGCGCACGCTGACAATTTGAGTCTTTGTTTATACTGGAGAAACCGGAGTGGAAGCGCTGTCAAAATTGCCACAGTACTACTTCCATCTTACATATTTTGCTGTAAATACTATGGTTGAGGTTGTTTATAAAACGTCTTCATTAATCTACTGCAAACTGTTTGATCCGCACATAATTGAGATTGATGTTATATGCCATAATCATTGTGAGGACTTCACCTGAGTGTATTTTTGCAAGAAACGTAAAGTAGCGGTTATTTTGCAAATTGTAAGCTTTAATGCGATGGCGACGAGCAATGTTGACTAGCCTCCGCCATCATTTGAAGAAATAACATGCACAAACAGTCAGTGGTGCAAAGCAAACGTTTTACGCAATTCTGCTCCAAGACAGATTATGACAATCACTCTGCTTTCAAAGACCATTTATAACGGTTGACAAACAAATGCATGACGTGGACAAAACATAGCAGAACAATTACGAACAAAATTGAGCAATTGCACATCTACTCACATATTCTTGAGATCCCTATTCGTGAGCAACCCTGTGTAATCCCATAAAACACATGCTTTCTCCCGTCATTGATAGTTTAAGACATCTGTCACTACGACGATTCGTCTTTAGGAATTTTCAAACATTCTTGTAGCCTACCACTGCATTAGAACCATCCACACGAGTTGTCTTATTATTGGAGGGTTTCAAACAGCAGACTTTCGTCAATATGGCATATTTGATCTGATGGTGAGCCATGCCAAAGATGAATGCATGAGAAAGTCCAGAGAGAGTGGCGCAAGTCCCAACAAAGAAAGACACTTCGTCAAGCAGCTAAAAAATTTGAATCACTTTCACATCTTGCTGGTCGCAGATTTACCTGGAAACTGAGTACGGTGCCAACGCCGTTGAGACAACCTGGAACGACTCCAATCAAGGCTGATACAAGAAGGATGTAGAGGGCAACCCGATTAGCCTGAAATCAGAAAAAGTGATCAGCACGTATTCACTGATAGCATTGCATATACACACTTACACTCCTATCAATCTTGGTCCTATTGTGTCTTTCTACTTCAGACGCTTTTGTTAATCGCGCTGAACGCTTGAGGAGATGATACATGATTACCATTGTTAGTAGACATGAGAACAGGTTCATCATCATATTTGATAGTCCCCAGTAAGCGCGGAACAACTAAAAAGTGGCATTCTTCAAATGTTGCACAACAGAGATCGTGAAAACTAAGTTGCAAGGTAAGCACCTCATTAGTGAAACATCCGAAAGAGCTGCAACCAGGAACTCGTTGAATAGTGACTGTCACTTGGAGGATAAGCCAGTCAATGAGAGCCAATAATATGGCAAACAGGAAGGCTCCGATCGACCAGCTGCAAAGGTCTGCATATTTGAGTGAAGTCTTTACTTTGGCTGTCATTTTTTTGAGAAGGATGGGCTCAACATGGTTGTGATGAGGTCAATAACACCCCAGTTCCTTGACTTATATTGATACTTTGACTACTGTTTTCTGTCATTTACATCTAGCCCATCCAGCCATTATTATTGTTACCGTTAGGTATCGTGCTAACAACTTGTGAGATCAAACTCAACAACTAGAAAGCAGAAATTTTGTGCTTAAGTTTGATGTTCTTTACCGTTGAGGTCATGAAAACAATGAAAACATACTATCGCTTCGATCTTCTATAGTAATCCACTGGAAAATACAATGCTAGAAGGCGATCAATTGCTATGGCAGTAGTGACCGTACACCCAGACTTCATAAGGGCTGCAGATGGACCTCCTAGTGGGACTACCACCCATGGATCGTAGTCGAAGGGCACATCTGAAAGAACGTGGGAGCGATTGTGGATGTTTATGCCATAAGTTGTGTTTCTATCGCCAGAAGTAGTTTAACCTATCCCCTAGGCACGCAAGAATACATATGCATGACTTAATGTCATTTACATGACAGCCAGAGTGATCGATACTAGACTAGACCAATACACTCGCTTGTTATTACGACTATTATACTGCGATTATTATTATTATTATGTTATGACTATGATTATGTTCTCAGTGCTTTTTACCTTATACAAATGGGCTGCCACACAAATTTAGCTTTGGGACCAAGGGCTCCGCTTGTGATAAGGCTCACAAAAAATGATTAGGAATCGAAGTGGCCAAACCAAGCAAATTGCAGACCATTAGATGCAGCATAGAACGCTAACTTTAAATCTATCCGTCTTATCTGCAGAAGGAAGAACTTTATCATCCTTTTGTGGATGAACTTATAAGCTGTTAAAGACCATTATTTCGCTAAGGCAGTGCGAGTGTAAAGTGCAAACTGTGCCGTACAAAGCCATTTTCGCCTCAGTATTGGACCAAAACAAGCATCTAGGTCACTGCATATGGCCCGTATCTAGAGGTGAGCTAAAAGAGCAATAATTTGCCTATTCGCAATTTGTGTATGATTTTTCTCGTTAAAACTGCTCATAACTTCGCCTACAAAGGCGCTCTGCAGATACCTAAGAGAGATTTGAATTCAGAATTTTATGCTGCATCGAATGGTATGCAGCTTGTTCAGATGGCTACTTCGACTTTTGACCACTCCTAAGGGAAGGATACTTGGTCGAAGTGGCGCTTCCATATGAAATGTATATTGTTTTTTTAGCGCACGGAACGCTGATTGCTTTCCATATCGGCAAAGCGCCTCTGGGAGAGGAGTTATGGAAAATTTTTGAAGCAAACACTTGAAGGCGCGGCTACAATAAAACCATTCAGGAGTGTTCTGTGAGTTTAAATGAGGATCAAGACTACTGCCAGGCAGTGGCGTACCCAGGATTTCGGCTCGGGGGGGGCGCGGCAAAAAAAATTTTCAAATGAAGGTGCGTGGCGTAAGCCACGCACTCCGAAAAAATTTTAGGGGGGCTCCTCAACAATTTTGCGGGCCCTCAACCCCTAAAATCCGGAAAAAGGGGGCGTGGCGTCAGCCACGCCCCCGAAAAAAAATTTTTTATAAGGCTAATTTGAATTTTTGAAAAATTTTAAAAATTATTTTAATTGTTTACAAAAATAAACAAGTCATTTGCACATTTTTATAACGCATGTCAGTAACTTTCAAAAATTTCGCGACCCGTTCTCGGGGGGGGGCGCGCGCCCCCCCCCGCCCCCCCCCCCCTCGGTACGCCACTGCTGCCAGGTCATTTTATGTAGCTGTTCCTTTATCTGTTATACTTATGCTAGATAAACCAAACAAGATAAGGATTAAAAATTGTTACAAAATTAAGTATTAATTAATTAAGCTAGTCATTACTCCCTTCAAGGATCGGGATCTCAACGATTACTTTTAGCTTGACCAAAACTCATGATTTTTGCCTCAAAAATTTTTCATAATTCGCCTCGCAGCGCGCTTTGCAGATAACGAAAGCATATTTCTAGTCAGGTCTCGATTAACACATTGACGACAATACGACCCACCGGTGGGTCGTACGTGTACTGCCATTTCGGACAATACGACCCACCGGTGGGTCGTAAGTTTTCGAAAGCTCTAACTTTGCCAGCATGCGATGGAATTCTACGGTATTCTGGCACATGATTGGGGACACCTTGGCGAAGCTCTAGCCGGAGTGGTCCGGGTCCGGGATACTTTAATGTAATATTATGGTAGGTATGTCGTAGATAGAGGTAAGGCACACATTTTAGCTCGAATTTCTCGCAGAGTGGTGCTGTTTTTGACAATTCAAGTTTACATGCACAAGAAATACAGATAGAGCATGAGACTCATGTCAGCCATCAAAAATTATCGATTTTATTGATTTTATTGATTTTTTGCATTGTTCATCCCAGAAAGCTCAAACCTTTTATATATAGGTTTTTTAGCATGCTGATTATGAAAATGATAGTCTCAAGTTCTAATACCGCCTTCTTACATCAGTTTCTTGATTCTTAAAAAACTAACGTACTGCTACCGTAGTCCCTCTGTGGGAAAGTAGTGAACAAAGTGGACACTATAATCGTGATCAGCATGTGAAATAACCCCAAAACACAATTTTTCACGAAAATCCGTGATGTTGGGTTCGTACAGAGTGACTACCGTAATCTTACCGTATGCTGCCAGAAACTGAAACAAATCATATTTTGATAATCAGCGCCTTCGATAACCCTTGTGGGGATATTCTCAGAAACATATTTTGAATTTCTTACAAAAAGACTACCATTTCGGACAATACGACCACGGGTGGGTTGTAAGTTTGGCAGAGCAAAAAAGGCTCCTGTCCGAAATGGCAGTAATCGAAAAATCGGCCTTGTTGTCAATGTGTAAAATCATCTAGTGTGATCTTTGTGCTTTTCACACAATACAAAGAAAACTCACTGTCCGGTCTTGCTCCAGAAATCAGAAAAATCAAATAGGGAAACTGAAGCACCGCATAGACGAAGTCGATGAATGCCAGTGAAACCAGCAAGATAAGACTGTCGTTTCGATAAAGTCGTCTGGTTGTGCACCAAACGTAGAGCACAACGAAATTGGCGAGGATTTGCAGAACACAGATTATCAGCAGGAATATATCCACGTAGAGGCAGATGGTGTTGCTGATCATGCCGAATGCTGCAAACATTACTGCTAAAGAAAAGAAAAATAACGCTGTATACGTAGGAGTACTCGGGAGTACGAATATAAAAATATAGTCAAGTGCAAACGTCACAAATCCAAATTAGACCTTATTTCCTGACATTTGTAACTCATAAAATTAACGTATTTTTATGAGCTACAAAAGCTCAGGTATTAAGCTATTTGAATTTATAAGAGGTGCTGCCATGAAATGGGAGAAATGGGAATGTCTAGAATAATTTCAACGGTAAAGCTCCTGTTCAAGATTTATCCCTGATGAAACTACTGGGTTGTTTCAAAAGCTCTACCCGTTTTCAGAGTTCAATCATTGCGAGTGCAGTGAATTGCCTTACAACATTTCTTTTTCAATTTTATGCATACTCAGAACTTATCGCAGCTACAACGATCCAATTTTTCTAAGCAAAACTCATCGAACATCTCCTTTTGGGAACCTCTAATCTGAACCGAACGTGATGAATATAGTTAATTTGCACAAGCACTGCTCATTGTGAGGTCAATAGCCGGCTGAGCAGTACTGCTATTCTTGTATCTCACCAAATCTTTTCGTAGAAGATTCTTTGCAAAAAATTCGATGGGACCCAATTATTTTCTCCTTTCTGAGGTGGTTGAAAACGCGCCTTTTTGAAATTTTCTTGTGTTTCGACTGTCGCTTTGTCGTTGTCGCTTAAAACTAAAAAGTCATTTCCTTTTTCCAATAGTAAACAAGCTAGGTCTAATTTCACTATTCAGAGGAAAGCAATCTTGCAGCACAAGATCTCAGCAAACAAATCTTACATATCTCTGAAAAGAATTTGGGCGTAGTCAAGACAAAAGAACAAGGAAGGAAAATATCCTTCTTCTTTTTGCTGCCCATTCAGAGTATGGAATCTCACACGTACAAAGCTTCATAGAATTGGGAGTAGCTTCAAAAACTAAAAGAGAAAAGCTTTTAGATATAAGCATTTTTCTGTAAAATGGCTTGTTCTTCGAATCAACAGCTTACGAAGAGGTACAAAAACGGGCAGAACTTCAGAAAGAATCCAACACTCAAATATGACTTAGGGCGCATTATTTTGCTTCGAAGAGATCTTATTCCTGACAATGAATTCATGGAGTCAAATTTCGGTCAAAAGAATAACAAAATAATATACTTCTTATTCGTTTCACGCAGGACCTTCAAACAGCATACAAAGTAAGCTTGGATTTCTATAAGAGACCCGATTAATTGAAGGCGCAAAAAGGTACTCGCCACAGAAAAAAGAAAAATCTATGACTTTTCTTCTGGTCAGATTTACACTAATGTTCCTAACGACCACGCAGAATTAGCTCTACTTTAGAGCTGGCTAAAGTACATAAACTCAAGTAATTAAATTCTTGGTAATTTTAGTAATCTAGTGAACAACAGAACAACAAAGTGCACTAAGAGTCGCAATTCTTCGAACTTGTGAGCGTGGGTATTACAAGCGTGAAATAGGAGGACAAGGTAAAGGTTGAAAAATAAGAACCAGAGAATGGAGTGAAGAAAAAATAGCTAAACTTATTTGAAAAAATGCCCCTAGCCAATTGTGACCTCCTCTTACTTTGACTCTGCCAGGACAATTTACAAAAATTATCACCTAGATTGTGCAGTCTACAAGGACCGTTACTTTCTTCTAATTTTCTTATCCCCCTTACCTTTTCCTCCCTCTCCTACTAAAAAAAATTGATGATGGTGGTGATGCGAAAAAAATGATGCGAACTCGTTGCATTGCGTTTATACATGTTTCGAAAAAATGGCAGGGCGGGGAAGGGGGGGGGGCAGACCTTCACTCAAAACTGGCAAAAAGCGATAAGTGCTGAAAGCTGAGCTTGTCCATTCCGAAGTGGGAAATAGCTCCTCGCCTACTCAGTCTCCATATTCGCACTGGATCCTATGTCGCGTTGATTAATGACATGGTGTCGGATTGCGCAGACACTTTGGAGCTAAGGCCAAAAAATACGAGAATCAATTAAATTCTGATGTTCCTGACTTCCTGTCAATGATTTTGAATTACCGAAAGAATAAATAGTAGTAAAGATTCAACATCTTTAAATTATAAAGGAAACAGAGAAGAGCAGGTCAATGTTATCAAAATAAAGCGGAAGATTTTTGAATTTGTTCATTTGATTTTTGGACATTGATTTTACATAAGCACCTTAGCAAAAATAGCTTTCCAATAATAATGAGCTAACTCCCACACGGAATCAGACTGTATCACCAAGAATGTTACTCAATTCATAGGATTGTAAAGATTTATTTTCAAACTCAATCAGCTTTCCTAAATGTCAGGATACTAATGCATTCAAGGAAAACCCAGCATACTGTAGCTCAGTGCAGATTCAGTCACTGAATAACCGAATTGTACTCTAAACGTGCTCCTAAGTCTAGGAAAATACCTGCACTTTCAAGAATGTGGGTGTGGTATCATACGTAATCTGTACTATAATTAGCTTAGAAGTACAGGTACAGTAAAGTTAGTAAAGTTAGTTTATTAGTAAAGTTCAATCAAACACGTCATCTTTGCTCGGCACCTTTTCATACATTTCAGCCCCACAGATTTCTTTTGTGTCTATGTGAATCCATATATGGCATTGCTAAAGGAGTTTGTTGTTTTATGATAAGCAAGCAAAAGTAATATGGTAATAGCTGATCACTTTGTAATATAACACTCACGGAGTTTAAAACCTTCCTCTCACTTCGGGCTCAGATAGGATGTTACGAGGATTTTTTCTGAAAACATTTGTTGAGATCACCCCCCAACTCGGAGGTGTATGTACTTGTCTGGAACAACGTTAGCTCGCTTTACACGCTTATTTGTATACGTGCTTGGATGTGCATGCATGAACGCCTTCATCACATTCAAAACTCCAAAATCATCTCAAAAAGATCAAGGTTCTATAATTAGTATTTGCTTTATTTTTGTACAAAGCTTTTGGAACAGCCAATGTCATTGGCTTGAAGTTTACTTCCACACTTTGAGCTTTGAAGACTTTGAAAGTCAGCTGCATGGAATAGTAATCCGGACTGCGCACACAACTAGGTCAAATCTAAAAGTATTAGGTTGGAAACTAAGTTTTGCAACTGGTCTCATAACTTCCCTCTCACTCAACATGGCGCACTCAAATTTTGCCACTACGTTGATTATTACGTAAGCTACAAGCGCAGCTGCTGTCCTGCTAAATTCTGACGTCGCCGTGAGGGTTACGGCAAGTGCATGGTATGAGGGGGAAGAATTCAGAGTTTGACGGATTTGGCTGAAACTTGGTATAGGGGTATTATCCGACATGCTGATCACGAAAACGATAGTGAAATTGCGTGATGAGGGCTTTTTTTTGTAGGATTACTGTAGGTGTTCGATATGGGGTCGCACCCTAAACAAGGAAAAAGGCGTTGATTCAACAAATGAATGCGATATTCGCGTTTGGGTAGGTCAAATAACCTTACTATGTAAAGTTTCAGCGGAATTTGAGCTTCGGACTCTTTAGTCATTGACTGTCGTCCTCAGCAGCTCTTGCGTACATCGACTCGTTCGAACTCGTTCGAATTTATGAGGACGCCAAATCTCGACATGCCCCTAAATTTTATTTCTTTCTTACTAGGCCAAAGGAGTCAACCTCTAGCAATAATTTGTAGACGAATCCGGATTACTGCGCATGGTCTAGGCTGCCAAAGGCTTCATTTTAGCTTGAAACCCCTAAAATTCCCAAATTTCACTAGTTTCCGAAAAACGCTCGAAACTTTTCTATTTCGTGTTCAAAATTTAGACAATTTGTGCTCACTTGTAGCTCACATTGCCTTCTACATAAAGCCAAAGTTTGAGTGAGCCATATCCAAAGATAGTGAAGTTATGAAACCTGTTGCAAAACTTAGTTTCCAGCCTAATATTTACATTGCTAAAACAGCTCAAGAGATGGTTGACTTGCAAGCCTTTGCAGACTTTACGGCCGAGCGAGGATAAGCGAATAAGCTGTTCCGAAACTGTATCACTGCAGAAGAATGGCATGGCTTTGTTGTAATGAGTATGGTTCACTTTACTTCCTAAACTACATCCAGACAATGTGGTTGTTGAGGAGTGTAAGGAATTATAATGTTGGCCTTGGCACTCTAATCACCAGCAAAATGCCAAAAGAGAAACCTCAAGTCTACTAGCTAAATCTTTCCCTGTTAAGCCATCTTCGACTAGGAAAAAGTGTGTTGCCTCACGTAATGTCTAAGACATCTGCGTAAAAGTCTGGGCACGATGGAACTAAATTGCCGATTGTTACCTTCGTATTTTATCCAGATTATCTAAAAGTGCAGGTTATTTTCTTGAAAAAATCGACACACCCAGTAAGGGAGTCTTGTTCACGATATCATTCGATCAAACAATGAATGGCCATGTGGAAATTGCCAAATATGCGATATTTTAGAATTATACGTAAGAAGTGAGAACATATAGCAAAAAAATAGTGATGGTAACACGAAGAGAGCATGAAGTAGTCCGGAAAACCTTGAAAAGAAATGTTGATAGAAACAAAAACATTTTTACTTACTGAGATTTTAGACATACAAGTTGGGATTTAACGTTAGCACCCAAGAATTTGCCGAAACAAAATGGAATAGCTACCACATGACGTCCGTTTTACTCTTGCAGGACATTTTGTCATCTATCTGTAGTTGGAAACAGGGTTCTCCTATAATTTACCTAACGATAGATATACAATCTGCTCCAATCGGTTAGCTAAAAACGACATAATGTCAGCAGATCAATAAGTTTCTTGACATACAATCGTCAGCCTTCCAATGTTGATCGGTAAGAACTATTTTCGATTTAGTTTATGACAAAAACCTAATTAGTTGTGAGTCCACAATCACACTATGCAAATACTACATCCGTCACGAGAAGCGGTGCAACGGAAGAGAGTTATTATCCGCAGCAGGGTAGCAAAAAATTGCTGATCCATTATTTCAATTGTTGTTGTTGCATTGGAAGGAAAATTGGAATGAGA